TTTTCTCATTTGTGCATCTGTACCCGAGCCAACTCACCAAAAATGTCATCCATGTCCATACCATCCATGCCGCCGCCGCCTGCTGCCGGCCCATGCAGTCCAAAGCGATCATACATCTCCCTCTCACCCTCATCGCTCAACGTCTCGTAAGCTTGAGAAATTTCTTGAAATCGAGCAGATGCGCCAATGGGATCATCGCGATTCTTGTCGGGATGATGGGTGAGGGATAGCTTCTTGTAGGCGCTTTTGAGCTCGCTTTGAGTTGCGGACGGGGAGACGCCTAGAAGGTCGTAGTAGGTCGTGTCGACTGGCATGGTGAGGCGACGTGGGATGTGCGGTGTGGGGTGGGGTGTGCGGTGCGTGAGTGATGTTGAGTGAGGTGAGGTGAGGTGAGGTGAGGTGAGGTGAGGTGAGGTGAGGTGAGGTGAGGTGAGGTGAGGTGAGAGCGAGGGCACAGATACAACACACGATGCTGGTGGTGCATCGCCGCATTCAGTGATTGCACGACACGACACGACACACGACACACCTCACCTCACCCTGCCTCCTTCTCGTGCAAGTCAAAAGTGAAGTCGCAAGTCGCAAGTCAAAGTCCCGCTTGCTCAACTTTTTAAAGTCACGTGCAGCTGTCATCAGAATTTTGGTGGAGGCCTGCCTGCCCTGTGCGCGCGCATCTATATGCGCTGCATGCACCTTCTCGTGCGCGAGAGATGCACGCTGCTGAATGCAGGCACGTGATGTAGAAATTTCCAACTTTTGGGTTCTGCAGACCACGAAAAAGCGTTTACTGTATGCGCTTTGGACTTTGCTTGCAGCGCAAGCTATCCACCACACCTCGAGTCGCCCGCATTCATCCTGAGCTTCACACAGGCTCCTGACGACATGCAGTCACCAGTCACCCCATCCACGAGTCGGGAATTGCCGCACTTGCTCTGACTCTAGCTCTCACTCTCACTCTCACTCTCACTCTGGCTCCGACTCCGACTCTGACTCGCAAGGCACTCACACCGCGCTCACACCGCGCTCACACACTGATCGCTCAGGATGAGGAAGCAATTGGATCCGCGGATAGCGGCGCTGATCCGATCCAGCATCCACACCTCTCACCGATCCTTTGTCGTGCTCGTAGGAGATCATTCGCGCGATCAAATCGTCAATCTGCATTTCCTGCTCTCTCAATCGCGCACCACTGCGCGTCCATCGGTGTTGTGGTGCTACAAGTCCGACTTGGGCTTCACCACGCATCGCAAGAAACGCGAAGCCAAGATCAAGCGGGACATGCAGAGGGGTATCAGGGACAAGGATGCCAACAACATGACGCCCTTTGAATTGTTCATCGGAGTGACAGAGATACGTTATTGCTACTACAAGGAGACGGAAAAGATTTTGGGAAACACGTTTGGAATGCTCGTCTTGCAGGACTTTGAAGCTGTCACGCCCAACATCCTCGCTAGAACCATAGAGACGGTCGAAGGCGGAGGTGTGGTGGTGCTCATGCTCAAGACGATGACCAGTCTGAGACAGCTGTATGGGGCCGCCATGGTGAGTGGGCGTGGGCGTGGGTGCGTGGGTGCGTGGGTGGGTGCGTGCGCGGGCAGCGGGTGACTCATGCCCACCCATTTCTCGCTCCGCATGACAGGATGTGCACAAATCCTATCGCTCCTCCTTTGATTCGGCCGAACCCGTAGCTCGCTTCAATGAGCGCTTCTTGCTCTCCCTAGCAGCTTGCAATAGGGCCCTGTTCTTGGATGACGAGCTCAACGTCTTGCCAGTGTCCAGAGGGAGAGACATTTCCATCGAAGCTTCCTCAACCGCACCAGGTGCGCTCAAGAGCAAGTCGGAGCAGGAGCTGGAGTGGATCAAGGCGGAGACCAAGAGCACGCCTGTTGTTGGAGATGTGGTCCGGCATTGCAAGACGCGAGATCAGGTGAGCGTGTGGCGAGCTGCAGTGCGCAGATGAAGCGCGACTCAACTCAACTCGGCCCAACCCCACGCACCATCACAGGCAAAAGTCGTCTTGACCATTCTGGACATTTTGAGCAGCTCACAGCTCTCCACCACCGTCGCATTGACCGCAGGTAGAGGGCGCGGCAAATCGGCCGCTCTGGGCTTGTGCATAGCGGCTGCGGTGGTGCACGGCTACTCTAACATCTTTGTCACCTCGCCAGCTCCATCCAATCTCAAGACGCTGTTCGAATTCCTCTTCAAGGGCTTGGCAGCGTTGGGCTACGAAGAAGTGTCGGATTGGTCCGTACAAAAGGGAGTGAAGGAGTTCAAGGATCACGTCGTTCGCGTCAACATCTTCAAGCACCATAGACAGACGATTCAGTACATCGATCCCAACGACAACAATACGCTCGGACAGGCGGAATTGGTGGTGGTGGATGAGGCGGCTGCTATTCCTCTACCGGTCCTCAAACGCCTGCTGGGACCGTACCTCGTCTTTCTTTCTAGCACCATCAACGGCTACGAAGGAACGGGCAGGAGCCTGAGCTTAAAGCTGTTGCAGCAATTACGAGGCGGTGGGAATGCGCACCAAAATCAAGATACTGATGCGGCGGCGCTGGTTCGCAACAGCTCCAAAGATGCATCTTCGAGAATCACGGGCAAAGCTTTGAGCGCTGAAGGAGCTGCTGGCATGTCGACGATTCGATCGTTGAAAGAGGTGCAGCTGAACGAACCCATTCGGTACGCTGGTGGCGATGCGGTGGAGAGGTGGCTGCACGAGCTGCTCTGTCTAGACGCATCTTTGACGCCTCTGAGCGCTCACAGCTCGCCACATCCTTCGTCGTGCCAGCTCTATGGAGTCAATAGGGACGCCCTCTTTTCTTATCACGCCGCTTCCGAAGTCTTTTTGCAGCGCATCATGGCGCTGTACGTCGCTGCGCACTACAAGAACAGCCCCAACGACTTGCAACTCATGTCGGACGCTCCTGCACATCGTTTGTTCGTGCTACTCGGTCCGTCGGACAAGACGCAGAAGCAGCAATTGCCCGAACCGCTAGCTGTGATGCAGGTTGCGCTCGAGGGAAACATTTCCAACGAAATCATCATGAGGAGCTTGGCTAGGGGACAGAGGGAAGCGGGAGATCTGATTCCTTGGCTGATCGCGCAGCAATACCAAGATGACGAATTTGCGGGGCTATCGGGAGCTAGAATCGTCCGGGTTGCTGTGCACCCCGACCATGCTGGGGCAGGTTACGGCACGCGAGCTGTCGAGCTGCTCCGAGAATTTTACAAGGGCGGACTGCTGGATGCGGATGCGCTGGCTAGGAGACAAGCGAATGCTAGCGCGCAAGCACGAGACGAAGAGACGTTCGAAAAGATTCGCGATGATGCGCTTCTGGGCGCGAACGACGCGTCGATATCGATCAGGGATGCGCACCGCATGCCTGCGCTTCTGGAAAGGCTGGAAGAGAGAAGACCGGAAAGGTTGGACTGGATCGGCGTTTCTTTTGGCCACACGCCTGCGCTGTTTAGATTCTGGAAGAGGGCCGGTTACGTTCCGCTCTATGTGCGCCAACAAGCGTCGGAATTGACCGGGGAACATTCGACGTTGATGCTGCGCGGCTTGGAGGTGCAGCAGCAGCAAGAGGGCCAAGTACAGCAGGAACAAGGACCGGAATGGCTCAGCGCTTTTGCTAGCGATTTTGTTCGACGTTTCATCAGCCTCTTGGCTGGACGTTTCAGGGCGCTGGATTGTGTACCGGCGCTGGCTGTCCTGGAAGCGGCTAGCAGCGCATCGAACGACTCGAAAGCGGACCGACTCACCCTGCAAGAGCTTCGAGTGCATTTCTCGCCCTTTGATATCAAGAGGCTAGAGGCGTACAGCAATTCGATGATCGAGCTGCCCACCATTCTGGACCTCTTGCCCGCTCTCGCCTCGCTCTACTTTACGCGCAGGTTGCAGGCCGTTGCGGAAGGGATCGGGAGCGAAGAGGGGCCGAGAGGAGAAGAGAGGACGCGAACGGGGACGAAGATGTTGGAATTGGGAGCGCTGCAGAGCAGCTTGCTGTTGGCCGTGGCGCTGCAGAAAAAGGACCTGGAGGAGCTTCAGAGCGAGATTGGATTGATGAAGAATCAGACCAACGCTTTGATGCTCAAGGCTGTCAGGAAGATGCTGGGCTCTGTCAAGATGGTGGAGGAGCAGGAGGTGGCGAGAAAGATGGGACTGAGAGCATTGCAGAGTGGAAAGGGCGCTAATGGGGCGTTTGAACCTCTGCGACGGGATGTGCAGCAGGACTTCGAGGAGGCCGAACAGACGGGCGACGATGGTGAGGGAGATGGGGACGAGAAGAAGGAGGAAGAGGAGGAGGAGGAAGAGGAGGAACCTGCGCAGAGCGCTCTGGATCGCAAGGAATTTGCGGCCAAGCAGGCGCTACCCCGAGCGTTGGAAAAGTACGCCATTGATAAAGAGGGGCGCGATTGGACCGATGCGGAAGCTCAAGTTCAACGCGCCATTGCGCTCGGGACGAGTGCGAGCGCTAGTACGACGGAGCAGGGAAGAAGCGGTAAGGCGCAGACGATCGTCAGCGTCAAGGGCGCGCCTGCGCCCGCTTCTTTCTCGTACACCGGGAAAGAGCAGCGCAGCAATGGTGGCAAGAAGAGGAGAGAAGACAATGGTGGAGACAAGAAGTCCAAAAAGACAAAGAGGAGATAGCTAGCGCTTTCTGAGGAAAATGCGGTCCTCGCTCCATTTCGCCCTTTTTTTAAATCTCCCAAATTCCAACCCCATTCATTCCCTTGGCTGTTGTGCTGCGCGGGGGGCAAAATACCATCATGTAAATCGTACGAGAAGCGATGCGACGGCTATGTTATGTTGTTACGCCCCCCTTTCGAGCTGAGCTGCAACGTGAGCGCGTGG